TACTTGCAAACTGGTGATGGAAAGGGTTTCATGCAGCGCAGGATCCTTCGCCTTACCCTGAACTACAAGCCTCTAGTGCTAAAATTAAAACCTGAACTATAAAACCCCTAGCTCTAATTCTTAACCAATCCCCAAAGGCCTTAACGGTAAACCCCTTTCGAAAATACTCAGGTGCACAGCCGCCTCCCCCCCTAGCCGCACTGCTAAGTCCTGCAAACATGACGCTACACCGAATATTAAATAAAAATCGCAAGCTGGTTGGGGAGGCGGAGATGGGAGAATGCAGGTTCTCCTGCCGACATTTAAATTGCCGCGGCATCAGCATTGCTGACTAACTGGCGTCCTCACTGAGGGCATTTCTATCTCGCGTTGAAGACTTAATACCTCAAATGCATCAAACTAACGACATTGACCTCATTTCGTGTGCTTATTGTTCTCGTGCCTACATAGCACATACAGGTCGGCAAATCGGGACCCGCATTAATGAACGTAAGCTGGCCATGCGAATACGTAACCCATTGTCGGTCGTGTTTGCACACGCCTCTGATTGTGACCTCCACTTCAGTTGCGACGGAACTGAAGTGATTGCTACGGCTAGCACAAAACAGGTGCGAGAATTTCTCGAAGCTTGGCACTCCGGTAAAAACAGCATCAACTGGCACGTGGATCTCGATCCCACAGCACGCCGGTTTGCGCGCATGATTCACCAACTTGCGCCCAGCCTGAAACAGCAACTGTCTAACCGTGCTCGGTCAAGTAAAACTTCACTGGTTCTGCATCCCCCCCGGACACGTGACCTACAATCTAAACGTCCCCCCCTCTCACTTGCAGCGCCCATTGCAGCAGTATTCGCGTCACACAAAGCCGTTCCCGCATCCCCACACCTGTTCGATGTAACTTCTATCCCCAAATCCTCTTGTGTGCAATACCAGCCCTCACTTTTCATTCAGTCTGACGACGGGCCAATGGTACCTGCTTGAAAATTCACGAGTAAAAATCGATTTGCCGCCGAGATTTCTTTCTGCATGAGAAGGTATTTCAAAACTTTCGCCCAAATTTTCACCGATGCTTTTTGCCGCAGCACATTCAAATTCAGCGAAATAAACTATACTCGTCCTTTTCATAGCATGCTTGGATTCGCAAGAATTAATTGCTTGTTTTGGGGTGAAATTGTGACGGGCTGTTGCCTCTTACTACAGACTAATCAAACACATAGTTTCACATGCGGTTTCCACTGCAATTTGTTCCTGCCAAAAGAGTAATAAGAGTGAAAATCTAAGGAGACATTGCACATATTCAGGGTACGTGCTTCTAATTAACTGCGTTTACTATAGTTTGCTTTGTCGTCTCGAATACAAGACAATATCCCACACCTTCTACTAAAGATGGCTTCATCTTACTCCCAGTACTGGTTTTGGTCTAAATTCCACTCGTTCGCCAGAGTTGCCTGTCACTGTCCGGCATCGTGCCCCATGAGAGTTCTAGCGTGAACCATGTACACTAGAGTCATTTTGCCATTGGTTCACCCAGCGATTTTGGACAAAATTATGCTCTCATTTTTCAAATAAGCCCTGTGGACACAAATAATTGCTGAAATTTCTAATGGCAGCTGCGCTTGTAGACTCTACAGGACTCCATTGAAAGGTAAACAAAAGTACAAAGGACTGGAGTTAAAACAA